GGACTGTGGAGTTTTTGTATGTTGGTTGCTAAGATGTTGACATAACATCAGTTCGTGAGCATTGAGGGTTGCACCACCGAACGAGTCGACACATATCATAGGCGATTTACACTGACAGTTTGGGGTACACTTCACATTATGCAGTCCATTTTGATCATTTTTTTGTTATGTTAAACATATGTGAATATTTGTTTTTACTCTCTATTTTTTAAGTTCAAGTAGAAAAATTAAGTAGCTTTTACTTATGATTGTACTAACATTTACCTTTGTTTAACAAACCGCCAATGGTACTGTCACATAAGTGTTAAACAAAACATAAAAACAACATTCACACTTGTAATTAATTAAGAGCATCTCCAATATGGATTTGTTTTATAGCTTATTATTATTGACTTTTTTAATTGACTACTTATTGTATTGTGAGCACATATATTATTATTTTTTTCTTATTAACCGTTCAATATATAATGAGTTGTCAAAATACTTATATGTTTTGTATATTAACCTTTAGACTTTAATCATATTTCATTTTACCTCCTTTAATATATTTTAATTTTATGTATTTTTTGTTTATTTACTAATTAATTATTTTTATTAAATATTTAATGACATTTGATTTATGAAATATAAAATTATAACAATTACATAATTTTTTCAATCTTTTTTATGACTTTGACGTAATAATTTTTTCTTATTGATTTTTCCAAATGATGTGTTGTAATATATTTCTTTTGAAAAATTGTATGTTAATATTGCTAAAAAAAATTAAATATTGCTAAAAAAAATTAAATACGATGTGTGTTTAAAAAATGACTAATCAATAAGGAGGGTTTTATAGCATGTTTTAAATAGATTTGGATAAATTAGCTAATTTGTTTTTATAAAAAAAATATATTGAAAGAGGTTAACAATTGGATGCATTATTTAATTAGATGTTAAAGTTTTTTTTTTTTGAAAGAGAATTAAAATTAAAGTTAATAAAATGATGATTTGAAAATAATTTTAAGTTATACTATAGACTTACCACTCAATATACTCTAAAACTACTCCGGACCCTTTTTCTAATTGATCACCAAAACTAAATTAAATAAAAAATGAAAAGTAGAGAAAATGCCCAAATATGGAGAGGAGGCGTTGGTCCACCAAACACAGTCGTGACTATTTGTGTTAACTTTCAATTGGTTTTTTATTTTTTTAAATAATCTTATAAATATTAAATTCGTATTTATCTTTTTAAAAATAAAAATAAAAACTAAACCTAGATTTATAATGTTTTTCTCTATAAATAAAGATCAATATTCACATATTTTTGTTTAGCTTTAATTATTTTATAATAATAAAACGTTAGATTGGTTTTGATTGTTAATGGAGTTGATAAAAATTATTTTGGTTGGTTGGGTATATAGATGAAAGAGAAAATATACTTGAAAGAATGGTTGGGTTGGTTTTAATCACTGATGGGAATAATCTAATAAAAATGATCATACACACAAAATCATACTATATCTTCTTTTTTATAACCTGAAATTTAAGATAGTTGTACGATAATTTTGTTTTCTCTTTATCAATCCATGCTTTCATTTCGGTCATTTTCTCACAAATACTCCAAACTCATACTTTATAACATACTTTATAACGTCAATGTCAAGTTAGGCTTTTTTTTTTATTTGACACTTAGTGGCTTTCGTTTTTTCGTGTCTACTATTCACTTTTAGTGGCTTTGGTTTTTTTCGTGTCTGCTTTTTACTTTTGTTTGTCTTCAATGTCTAATGCCTTATTCTTCCTTTCTTGCCCAATACATACCCTACTTCTCTGGTTTCTACCATCTTACTCATATATTTAGAGATGCCCCAACTTGCCCGCATATAAACCGTCCGCATCAAATTGCACCGCATAATACGGTTTAGTACCTTCGTGGTAAGGTTTGCAATTTCCAAAAATCTCAAATCGCATATGCAGTGCGGTTTATAGTTTCCACTCTAAACCGCACTGCAAACACACTGGGTTGTTGGAATGATATGTGGATATAAAATGATATGTGAGAGTTAGTTAGTTAGTTTAGTTAATGAGTAAATTCGAGAAATGACCAAAAAGAGGGGGTTGTTTGAAGAAAATAACCAAGGAAAAACACATTTTAGAAAATGACCAAAGGATCCGCAGAGCACCCTCTGCGGATCTATTAAGTCCTCTGCGGATTTGCTACACCTCTGCGGAATTGAGTTTTTTTTTTAATTTTTTTAAATTTTTTTAATTTTTTTTTTGCGTTAATTTTAGTTTATTAATATTAATTTTTTTTAAATATACTAACACGTTATGTGATTGTTATGTAAAAAAAATTGAGAAAAAAAAAAGTTTTTTTTTCGTTTTTTTTGCGTTAATTTTAGTTTATTAATATAATTTTTTTTTAAATACACTAATATAAATTTTTTTGAATGAGGTCTAACTCGGGGGATCCATTAAAGGTTAAAAATAATGAACTTATGTTTAATCCGCAGAGCACCCTCTGCGGATCCATTAAAGGCTCTGCGGATCCTCTACAGCTCTGCGGAATTTTTGTTTTCTGATTTTTTTTAATTTTTTTTCGTTTTTTCGTTTTATTTGCGTTCATTTTCGTTTATTAATATTAATTTTTTTAAATACACTAATACCTTATGTGATTATGTAAAAAATTTGACAAAAAAAAGTTAAAAATAATAAACTTATGTTTAATATCAGTCCACATAACTGTTTGGGAATCCACATAACTTTTATCAGCGGATCAGTGTACATACGTATTCTCTTCTTTGAATCACCTCTGCGGATTAGTGTACACCTCTGCATAAGGGAATACGCAGAACTGTTAGAGAATAAAAAAAATGACTGACAAACAGCTCTGCGGATTACCAAATAATTTTGCGGAATAAGTAATATAAAATCACTTTACCATGCGTATCCTTTCATCGATTTTGTACCATTTCTTCTTCATTTCATTTTTTGAAAAATTAACCCTCATATTTTCCGTCATAATGGCTTCCATACCATGGAGCGATGAGGATAACCTCCGTCTAACTCGTGCATATATTAATATCCACGAGACCACCAGGGTGAATGATCCAAGTTATTGGACCCGTTTAACTTATGCCTTCAACGCTGACCCTCAAACTGCCCCAGAAAATACTGCAACACCGTTGACATCACAGCAAAATTGTATGAATTAAAAACGAAAGTCTTGGTTTTCAACAATCCTTATACCAAAATTGATGACGCACGTCCAAATGAAGATGAGGAAGTCATCATGGACGTAGTGAAGGTTGTATGTTTATGTTTTCTAAGGTATGTTTTGTAATCTATAAAAAATATGGAATATTTGTATAATTTTAATTAGGTTATTTATATGCACCGATTTGTATTACATTATTATGTATTTGGTTTGTATTAGGTTTTTTACGAAACAGTTGAGTTAACTTCTACTTTATTCCATAGAACATAAAATACAAAACAGTACAAATACATTGAAAACATACATCATTAGCAAACGTATTACATAAAACAATTCATTATTTTTAACATTTTTTTGTCAAATTTTTTACATAATAATCACATAAGGTATTAGTGTATTTTAAAAAAATATATTTTTAACCTTTTTTTGTCAAATTTTTTACATAATAATCACATAACGTATTAGTGTATTTAAAAAAATATATATATTAATAAACTAAAATTAACGCAAAAAAAACGAAAAAAAAAAAACTTTTTTTTCTCAATTTTTTTACATAATAATCACATAACGTATTAATATATTTAAAAAAAATTATATTAATAAACTAAAATTAACGCAAAAAAATGAAAAAAAAATTAAAAAAATTAAAAAAACTCAAATCCGCAGAGGTGTAGCAAATCCGCAGAGGACTTAATAGATCCGCAGAGAGTGCTCTGCGGATCCTTTGGTCATTTTCTGAAATGTGTTTTTCCTTAGTTATTTTCTTCAAACTACCCCCTCTTTTTGGTCATTTCTCGAATTTTCTCTTAGTTAATTACAATGTTAGGTGAGTGGATGCTATAGATAATCTTTAAAAAGTAATATTTTTATTTAGTATAATTGGATTTACAATAATAAATCCACAACAATAAAATTTGAACTTTATTTAGTCGATTATGGTATTTCGGAACAACACTATGAAGTATGGATGAAGTTTTTGATCGTAAAACCGAACCGGTTAGTGGTTTTCGGCCCGGTTCTCAGTTCTTTCAATCTATCATTTTTGGTTTTTAGTTATTTCGATTCCGGTCCAATTCGAACCAATTCTAGAAGACCTTCTTTGATAGCACACTTCCTAGTAGAACCATACCAGCAGGGGCGGAGCTTTATTAGGGCTAGGGGGTTGTGGCCCCCCTGAATTTTTGGTTATAAATAGTCCTTTTAGTTTCATTTTATACATTTTAGGCCCAAAACTATAAAATTTTGGCTGTGGCCCCCCGTGCTTACCAATTTTTATACATATTATATTTTCGGCCCCCCGAATCAATCGTTGAAGCTCCGCCCCTGCATACTAGAACCAGTTAGTGGTATTTGGTCCGTCTTTCAGTTCACCGTTTACTCCTTAATCCGTCTTCGGTTATTTTGGTTCTAGTTTGGTCCGATTCCGAAATTGGTTACATCCTTACTACAAAGTCTGTAATACTCGGGTTCTAGAGAAAAATGTTATTTTGCAAAATTTAGAAAAAATAGATTATTTTTGTTAAAGAACTCGTTTATAATGTTCAGTTAAGTTAATATGCCAAACACTTCGTTACAAGATAAACATTTCATTACTATTTATTTGATCACATAAATCCTTTATAAAAAACCAATAGTCGTTTTATCCCCCCTCCATTGGAGATACCCACGGAGCTTTTCAAATTTACTTTTGCAGGCCATGGGTTTATGATTCTGAAAAGGAAAAAGAAAAAGAAAAAGGAAAAGGAAAAGAAAAAGAAAAAGAAAAAGAAAAAGATTACAGTATTAAATTAGATTACCTAACAAATTAATAATAGTAGTAAATGGATCCACAAACGTTAGAAGATCAATCTTTTCTAATTGTTTTTGCCGGGGAGTCTCTGCAAATTCTGAGGTTCTTGCAACCAAAGATCACGTTTTTATCCCAACCCAGATAAGTTTTTCTTAATTTCGCAGCAGTTTTTTCGAATTTCCCACTATTTGTTCAAGAATTTTGATTCACAAGAGAGAATTTTGCTTCTACTTGCTTAAAAGATCAGCATCTCTCTTTTTCTGAATCGGGATTCGTTTGTGTTCATCCCCAATTCACTCCATCAAATCCTGATTCAGAGAGACAAGCAAAACTTGGGTCTTTAGTTTCAGTTTCTGTGTTTGTTGCTTTGATTCCATTGCCATTCTTGGTTTTGAGCTATGAGATTCGTAACTTACACATACTGAAGGTGTCCTGGGTGAAATTCGTTTGTGGGTTCGATGAGATATAATCTAAGAAAGCTAATTGATTGATCTTAGTTAGGACTTGAGGTCTGTGAATTCTCATATTAGTTACCTCTAATTTCAAGAACTCGGTTCGTAGTTCTTGAAATTTGATCTTTAGGGTTAGACTTGTTATTTTTGATCCAATTCGAAAATTTCAATGTTTTAAGTCTCGAAATCATTTTTCCAAAAGAGATTCAAATAGAAGAAATTCAATTTCTTTGTTCGACAATGGGAAAATCAAGAAAAAACAAGAAAGTAGGATCAAACAATGTTAATCCGGATCAAAGCAAACTGGACGATGGTAATACCACAAAGATCTACGATAAAGACACTACCATTTTCATTTCAATGGCACAAGAACTTAAAGATGAAGGAAACAAATCGTTTCAAAATAAAGATTATGAAGGAGCGATATTAAAGTACCAAAAAGCCCTCAAATTACTTCCGGGAAACCATTTAGATGTTTCTTATCTTCATAGTAACATTGCCGCATGCTATATGCAAATGGGTATCGCTGATTTTCCTAGAGCCATTCATGAATGCAATTTGGCACTTGAAGTCACACCAAAATACACTAAAGCACTCTTGAAACGTGCTAGATGTTACGAGGCTTTAAATCGACTCGATTTGGCTTTAAGAGATGTTAATATGGTGTTAGATTTAGAGCCCAATAATCTCATGGCAATGGAGATCATAGATAGGGTAAAATCCCGTATGGAAGATAAGTCGAATCTTGAAAAAAAAGATCACAAAAGTGAACTAGACATCGATTCTATTCGAATCTTGGAGCCATTGAAGGAAAAGGTACATAAAAAGAAAAAGAAAAGCACAAAACTTGATCGGATTGATGAAAAGAAAGATGAGTTAAAAGATTTTGAAAGGGATGATAAAAAGATGGAAGACAAGATAGTTGTGGAGGAGAAGATAAACACAAGTAGCAAAGAAGAACCGAAAAGGGTTGTGAAATTAGTCTATGGGGAAGATATTAGGTGGGCGAAAATTCCATTTAATTGTGATATTATAAAACTAAGAGAGATTGTAGATGAAAGGTTTCCTATTTCAAAGGCAGTTCTTATGAAATACAAAGATGAAGAAGGTGATATGGTGACAATTACCACAAACGAAGAACTCCGGTGGGCAGAATCGTCAAATTCAGATCAAAGGAATGCAATTAGACTCTACATATTTGAAGTCAACCCTGGTCAAGATCCATTCTTTGACCATGTCAGAAGATTAGAACAAAAACAAAAGCTTTTAAATTCATCTGCTTGTATCGATGATTGGATTCTTGAATTTGCTCATCTTTTCAAGAATTACACCGGGTTCAACACGGATTCATATTTGGATCTTCATGAGCTTGGAATCAAGCTGTACTCAGAAGCTATGGAGGACACTGTCACAAGTGAAAAAGCTCAAGAATATTTTCAAATGGCAGCTGATAAGTTTCAAGAAATGGTAGCTTTGGCTTTTTTTAATTGGGGAAATGTTCACATGTCAAGAGCACGAAAAAGAGTATACTTTAAGGAAGATGATGATTCACTTTCAGAAATCAAAGATTCGTACGATTGGGCACAAATGGAGTACTTGAAAGCTGGTGAGAGATACAAAGAAGCTATCAAAATTAAACCTGATTTCTACGAGGGATTTCTTGCTTTAAGTCAACAACAATTTGAACTTGCAAAACTTTCATGGTGTTATGTTGTTGGCAAGAATGTGAATCTTGAATCATGGGATTCAACAGAAACGATGAATCTTTATAACGAGGCTGAAGAGAATATGGAAAAGGGTATGAAAATATGGGAGGAAATGGAAAGGGAGCGTGTTAATGGAGGTTTGAGGCCAAAGTTAGAGTTTCAGAAAACCGATTTGGGGAAATTTGTTGAAGATGTTAAAGAAGATGAAGTGGCTGAAAGGGCTGCAAATATGAGGTCACAGATGAACATATTATGGGGGAGGATGCTTTATGAAAGATCAATTATGGAATATAAGATTGGGAATCCTGTTTGGCATGAATCTTTGGAGATGGGTGTTGAGAAATTTGAAGTAGCAGGAGCTTCACGTAATGATATTGGTGTCATGATAAAGAATCATTGTTCTAATGTTACCACACCAGAAGGTTTGTTCTTGATTTTCTTTTTCCACTTTTTTTGGTTTTTGATATTCATAATTTGAAGAAATCTTGGTTTTTAATTTCGTTTTTTTATGGTTTTTAGGTGTGGGATTTGATATTGATGAGATTGTGGAGGCATGGAATGATATGTATGAAGCGAAAATGTGGCAAACGGGTGTTGCTTCTTTCAGATTAGAGCCATTGCTTAGAAGAAGAGTTTCTAAGATTTTTCATGCCTTGGAACATGCTTGAAATATATGGTTTTATATAATGCTTTTATAACCTTACACACATTTTTTTTCCTCTTATACTGCTTTTATAAGCTTACACACATTTTTTTTCTCCCTTTTTTGAGTGTAACAAAGTGTGGCTTCTTGTTTATCTTCATATGGAGTCTTGTATTTTTTTTGGGTTGTGATAGATTCATTTGGACATAAATTGACATGAGTATATGTTTCTTCATTCTTTATCAATACACATATTGTATAGAAAGAATCATTTTTTTGGATGTTTGGAATCATTAACTGTTTTTTTTTTCTTTTCCTTGATATATTTTGGACACAAAGCTACTATGGGTCAATGATATTGAATAGTAACCACGCTTCATGTGTTCCACTTATGTACTTCAAACATTTTTTAAAGGTTTAGTGACTCAAGTTTTAATTTTGGTACATTCTTATGAAATTTGAAAACAAAACCCATCCACTTGAACTATATATAAAGGTTGTCTTGACAAAATTTCATCAGTATGTTGACCATTTTGATGAGGATGGAGTTCAATAAATTTGTAGAATTTAGTGAAAATTTAGTATGTTGGAAAGCACAAGGCTGTACTATTGTGTTCCTAGGTAGAGTTTATACAATGGATTAAGCCTTGTGAAATGTGATTTGGATGTTTATGCATTTTGGCACCCATTGGTTTGCAAATTCCGGATGAATTGCTTTGTATTTTGACCATTGTGATTATGATTTTATAAGGGATTACGCATAAGTAATCTACAGAACCTATATTTTGTATTTTTTTTCGTAGATCTATTAAAAGGAAAACTCAACTTTTATCTATTTTTTTGCTATTTTATTCTTTGAACCGGTTACCAAATTTCATAAAGACGCTATATTTTTCTTTTTTCTCATTTTAGACTTAAAACTTTTTTTTAAAAAAAAAAAGTAAACTCAACTTTAACTTATTTCTTGTTATTTCGTTAATGGAGCCGATTACCAATAGGTAACCTTATATCCCCATAACTCACATGTGTATTAGGCATCAAAGGGTCACATTCGTACCAAAATTATGGCTAAACTTGCACATAAATTTGTAATGTAGAATCTTGGGCCTCTCGACTATTTTCTCGTTGTCACTAATTCTTGCCATATGAGTGGATTGTTTTTATGTCAAAGGAAATATGTTATGGAATTACGGGAACAAGTTGAATGTCATCTTGCAAATCTACTCCTACTCTATATTGAAGAAGGTTGTGAATCGAATTCGGGACAGTCGGCGTCGCTATATGCGGTAAGACGTGTGGAAGGGGTACTATAGAGAGTAAAAATATAATCAAGAGGACCTTAAACATAGTGTAGTACACACTTTAAATCTACCATATGGGATTCACAAGGTGCATACATATGGAAGCATATATGTTGAATATGAGATATATATGGTTAGGTGTAGATGATGTATTGAAGCATTCCAACAGGGTTACGATATAGAGTTTGGTTAGAGTAAGGTACAGTGCCGGATATAATGGTGGACAATAGAGATATTTGCACAGGGCCCATATATTTCAGGGGCCTAATTTTTTTTTACTTATATTATGTGTAATTAAAATTCCAAGCCCAAATGCTTAGCTCCAACAGTCCATCAAGCGTGCAGCAGTCGAGAGATAGACAAAATTCTGCCGACTTGTCGAAAAAGTCGAGATTTTATGATTTCCGACTTTCTGTGAGCGTGAAGTCGTGAAACGTGAGAAGGGCAGTCGATCATTCAACATTCAACATTCAGGGACATTCGATTACTCCACAGCGTGCAGGACATTCGGATTTCAAATTTTTATTCAGGGACATTCATAATCATTCAGATTCAGTAGAAGGTGAGAACTGAGAAGGGCAACAGCGGTATTATTCCACAAATTTCTTGTTTTATTTTATTCAAGACTTCCAGTCGATCATAAATCATTCATCATTTAATTATAAATTATTCAGACTTCAGTTATGTTTAATTGTTTGTTTTATTTTTGAGATATTGAATGTTGAACCACAACATCGTAGGATCATATTAGATAATTAGCTTACTTAGCAGAATTACTCATCAGAAATTGAATTACAATTAGATTGTAAATTGTTCAATTGAAATCAGACATATTAAAAAAAATCAGTTTATGTGAATGTCATCATATTATAGTTAGTGAATGATGAAATCAGACATCATAAAAAAAATCAGTTTATGTAATTTAATTCGTTACACGTTAATGTCTAAGGGCCTTTTTTTTCCACCTCGTTTTGGGCATTTGAATCCTCAGGACCGGCTCTTGTAAGGTTGTACATCCTTGGTACTAACTTTTCCTTTGTATCGATCGGAGTGGGAGTAGGTTTACAAGATGATATTCTAGCTCATTCTAGTACTTCCATAGCATATTTCTTTTGACATAAAAACAATCCGCTTGTATGGCACTAAACGACGACAACGAAAAAACAGTTGAATGGTCTAATATCCTTCATTAATAATTTATGTGCAAGTTTAGCCAAATTTTGGTACGAAGTTGATCCGTCGATGCTTAGGACGCACATGAGTTTGGAGGATATATGGTTACTTGTTGGTAATCGGCTTCATTAATGAAATAACAAAGAAGAGATAAAATTGGTTTATTTTGAAAAAAATAGGTCTAAAATAGAAAAAAGAAAGACAAAATATAAGGTCTTTATGGAATAAACCCAATAGGGTTACTCGTTGATAACTAGATCCAAGAATGAAATAACAAGTAATAAGTAAAAGTTTGGTTTTTTTTTTAAAACAAAAAGTTCCAAGTCTAAAAAAAAAAGTAAGATGTTTATGAAATAAGCCCTAGAAATAAATAATAACATTGAAATCATTTCCAATCATTAGATTGTCCGTTTCAACCATACAAGCAATATAGAATAACCATAAGGGCTGGAGAGTTTGGTGCCACAAGAACCGTACTCCCTTCTTTGCTACGTAGGCGCCACATAGGTGTCATGTCAATTATATCACACAAAATGTGGTTCTTTACCACACACTAGGTGTGAGAACCTTGGTAGAGAGAGAGATGAGAAGAAGAGGGAAAGAATTGAAGAGAGAAGAGAAGAGAGAATGTGTGGCAACTTTTAGGTGAAGAGAGAGGAACCGCACTCCCCTACCGCAGAGTGGGGGGTGTTCCCCACTGTCACCGTGGCAAACATTGGGTGCTACCGCATCCACGCCCTCAAGCCTAAGGAGTTGAGTGTAACAAGTTACATTAGGGTGCACTTCTTCAGGTGTAGGCCCAAACTCCACAAAAAATAAGGACCAATCTAGCTCCTCTCTGTTCACATGGTTGAATAATGGTGCTATGATAGCATGTTAGGGCTTAAGATCAAAGTTCTTGATATGAATGACGTGAATACCTTACAAAGCTTTCTTAGAACCCTAATTTGCCCCTAGGTTTCCCCTAAAACCATTCTACAAACACGGCTATATTATTAGGGTTCCCATGTGGTCGGACAAATCATACACGGCGGACCACATGTCTGTAAAAACTTGGTCTACCTTGAGTCGCTCCCATTGTACCAGTACACTATACTCTCTGGCTGGCTGTGCAATTTGTATTGGTTCAAATCGACAAAGTTATGATCATGCACATATATTAACAAGTTGAACCCATCTTATACATCAAACTTTATCATCGATTTATATATCCTACAAATTTTAAACAATTGACAGAAATTTAAACTTTAGTAGTTAAACCTCTCAAAATTTTCTGAGATACCTAGGTGGAACAACTAAATCTTGATTATTATTTCATAAAGTTGTTCATATATATAGTCACCTTATTGGCATATCACAGCCGGATCATTATCAACTCATTAGTCAAACGGGTAACGTCACTCATATTATATAAATAAAAGAAAAAAAAACATGAGTTGTTAAACCTCTTGAAGGTAAGTTTCAGAAACCGATGTAATTTTTCAATATAACTAGTCACTGTACAAATTAAAAAAAAAGGCACAAATGCAAATGAATCAATCTACAAAACTTGGATTGTATCTTATGAACATAAAATAACGTCAAATAATGATACAGCATATCCATATGTCTCCAAACCAAATATAAAAATCATGCCCGCGAATTCCACCCTAACCCCAACCCCAACCCCAACGGGCCAGAATCGGTTTTAGTTTTCCCTTGATTCCCATGTGAACAATTAGAAGAATGAACATGTGAATTCAAGTTGTTATTCACATCAATGGAATGCTCATTTCCATTCCCGTTTTGTTGGTCCAAATTTCTAGTCATAGGCATCATATTAATCTCATGCGATCGAGCTACTTCTTCAATCAACTCTATGTCTTCATTGTAACCATTCACAAATAAATCCCAACAGTTTTTCTTGCACCCGTGGTCATACGGGTTTCTAAATCGACCCCCGGGTCCTCTTAAGTAGCTATATCGCATCATGTTTGCCATTTCATTTGTAGTTATATTTCTCCCAACCTAGAAACATGATGAAAATTCAAAATTCATACTTGTTTTGTATAAATTTTTTTATATAATATGAGAATGAAATATTAAAAATCAGAAAATGTACCTGAGAGATTTGCATAGATGTTAAGGCTGCAACACCCATGAAGAGAAAACCATCTGAAATTATGAATATTAAAGCACCCATGTGATAGTTGCCAGCATGGTTTAGCCATGCTCCAAAAGTAGATGGAGCCATTGGGTCGGTTAAAACTCCTGAAATAAACCATTAGAATGATTTTGGAAGGAATGGAATCTGACAAAGGAATTGGAATCTGACACGCGTTTGGTTCGCACAAAATGGAATAGAACTAACTTAATGATAGTTTTATTTATATTTAGATATTTTTGGTTTTATTGAGAAAAAGTATGATTGAATTTTTCATTTTTATTTATTTCGATGTATATGTAACGAGGGTATTTTGGTCTTTTAATAAAAAAAAAGGAAGAACGGAATTAATTGAATTGATTCCGGCCACCCGTAGAAATGTTGTGAAATCCATCAAACATGGAATTTGAAGGATTTTCCAACGCATTGAGAATTCCGATTCCATCATCAAATCAAACACACCCATGGAATGGAATCTTGAATTCCGATTCCATCATCAAACCAAAGACTAAGAAATGAGAGAGCAATACTTGTAAGAGCAACTGTGCCAGTTATCAGCATGGCAAAAACTTCAAGAACTAGGAAGCCCAAGAAATCCCTTTTATTCTTCTGTTTCATGAAAAGGATTGAAACATATTGTTATGAAATTTTATTTATATTATTAGAAAATGGAAATATGAACAAAAACAAACCTTGCCAATGCAATTAGACACCCAGGGGCAATGATGGTCAAATTGCTCAACACATCGATCACATGTTGAACAATGCTTCGAACGAACAGGTCGTACAATCTAATGAATAAGTCAACAAAAAATAAAAAAACTTATATTAAAAATAAAAAAAAAAGTAAAGAAACTAATACAAGTATGTGGTTATTTTTTTTATACTGCAGCATTTACCTTACAAGTTGCACAAAGTTGAGACCAGTTACCAGCTAGCAAAGCAGGATCACCAAGCTCAATCTTCAGTAAAGGCTCCTAAACAATACAAAAAAATAATAATAACAATAAAAAAAACATCCAATAATAATAAAGAATTTAGTTATAGAACAAAAATCAACAAATGACTTACATCATCTTTCATATTTTGTGAATCATGTCTGTTTGTTTTAACATAACCTGGATCTTTGCTACAAAAACCAATAAACCACCCATAAGTCGAAATATTAAAATTAATATCCAAAAAATAAAAAAGATAAATAATTAAATTTAAGTATAAGACATACCAACTACACCGATAAAACAATACCAATCCTGCACTTGCCAATAGTACAGCAATCCATGCAATAAATGCAGAACCAGCTGCCATTTTAGGCAAATTTGGAGCTGCAAATTTATAAAAATAAATTATAAAAACTGACCTTGAGTTATAAATATAAAATATATATGGTATTAAAAGATTAGAAATATACCCATAATGACAGAATTAATAAAGGTCAAAAGTAGCACAAATATTACACATAAAAGTGCTGGTGCTAATCCTAGTTTTGAAAGTTTCCCTATGGTACTGTTTCCATCCCAACGTTTATCCAACATCCTCCTAGCATTACCCTAATAAAATCAGATTAAAAAAAAAAGTTATTAAAATAGAAAGTAGTAAAAAAATGTGTATTTACAAAAATACCCTTACAAGGAAAAAAGCAACTTGTCGATGGTTTTTATCAGACGCGAGCTGTGCTGGTGTGAGACCAGTGTTATCAGTCACCATTAAATCCTCTTTCTTTCCTGCTTGCACAAGCACTGTACATGCCTCTAAGTTTCCCCTTATAGCGGCCCAATGAAGAGGTGTACAACCTATAAATATAATAATAATAACATTATTTATTTAATTAAAAAAATTAATACAAAAAATAACTTTCATTTGCTATAATAATCATACCTTCTTTGTCTTGGCGACCTCTGTATGCATCGAGAAATAGAAGAAGCCGAATACAGTCTGCAAAACCTTTATATGCAGCCCTGCAAAATGACGCAAATACCCTCGTGTCAAGTGTCTGAAGAAATGTTAAATGTAAAGCATCCAATTTAGTGTACCAATGCAAGGGGCTTCTTCCGTCATTATCAGGAAGATCAGGGTCTGCATTCCACTTTGTGACAATGTGATAAAGCAAGGCTGTTTGACCATATTGAGCAGCAACATGAGTTGTCTGTAAGAAAAAAAAATCCAAATTTTAGTAAATGATTAGGTGCAAGATTTATTTTTTGTTTTGAATTTTGTTTTTGAATAATGTGATAAGAAGATACAAACCTGATATCCATACATATCAGCAGCATTAATCTGAGCACCTTCATGGAGCAAAAGCTCTGCAACTTGAATAGCTCCTCGAACAGCACTCCAGTGTAATGCTGTTTGTCCAGTAAGATCTGTAGCATTTATATCTCCACCATGCTGCAGATTTTATAAAAAATAAAAAAACAAAATAACTAACACATGAATTACTTCATATCAATAAACCTCAAACCATATATGTTTCCAAATCTGAACCTTAACAACGCACAATAACTACTGTTTATCATAAGGATCTCACATGTGGCAGATAGAGTTAGCTACTCTTAGGAATGAAGTAGATGATGAAGCAAAGCATAAGTATATGAATCATCTAACCAACGTATATACATCTATGTAGAACAAAGATAAAATTGTGATTAGTGAGTGTTACGAAAAACCTGAATGATGTATTGGGCAGCAGCAGCACGATTATTGAGGGCCGCCCATTGCAAAGCGTAATACCCGTGGTTATCCGGCTGTGAAACGGAGCAACCTTCCGACTCCACCAATCTCTGAAGCTTCTCCAAATCACCGTACGCAGCTGCAGTATAAACATCGTCCCTCAAACTGTCTTCATCTACTCCGCCCTCTGTCGTTCCATTCCCGTTCCCGGTGGTAGCATCACGATCTCTAGATTCTTGGACTTCGTCAACAACCTCGATCTCCGATGACATCGTTGATGTTTACACTTACAGGTTGTCGATATGAATTACAATCAGATCAATTGAATGTTAGAATAATGACACGATGGTTTCTTGCGGATTAGGGTTTTTCCAGGAAGGGGCAAGAGGGGGGAAGGAGTCAACCTTCTATTTTTCCTCTATCTCTCCTATGATTTTTTTTTATTTTTTTTTTAACAGTTCTATCTCTCCTATGAATTGAGGTTTGACTTTTTATCACAAAAAAAAAATACTATATTCTAGAATAAAATTTTAAATAGCGATAAACACAATATACTTGTTATATAGATCTATAATAGGTTATTTACTGAACAATGTTTTTATGTAACTATCTTTTAACATATAACTAATTTATGCAACGAAATAACTATTAAACCGCTTAGCGGATTACCATCTCATTGATTGTGTTTTAGTAATGCTCAACTAAGGAACAAAACTCGGTGGTTGTATGCTAATCCATCGACTACACGCATTTAGAAGAGAACATGAAAACTAGTCAAGAGTGAGATGAACATTGTAAGCCAAGTAGCCTATAAGGTCATAACCATGGCCATTAATGAAGAGTTCCACACTTCAAGGTTCTATCAAAAAGTTTTTATTCGTATGTTTGACAACAAATATGTCTTAGCCTACATCAACGACTCATTGAATGGTACATATTAATATAGAAGTTATGACAAGCCCTTGTTAACCAAGTTCTAAACAATGGTGGAGTTGAGAAGAACACTAACATCTCAATCTTAATATAGATTGTCATGTTCAAAGAAAGAGTTGCACGTCCTTTTGCACAAAGAAATTGGGGGGGTGTGTGAACCCCTGGCATGAATGATATATTATTGATTCCAAATAGGATGGAAGTGTGTGGATATACTTATTGAACATGTGCATAAGTAAAGATGCACTTGAAAAACCAGATTCGTGTAAAAAAAATTGATCGTATTCGAAGACTGGATTTATCTAAAATCATATCGGATAAATTTGATCCGTCAGATTTCAGTCAGAATATTTATATTATTCTGAACCCAATATCATATTAGAATTCAGATAAAAATCGATCCATATTCGATCCAAATTCTTTTTGTTATAGCTACGATTTTTTAAAAAATATAAAGCCATTAGCGAACTTTGCCAACTGTATTATATGTTTTTTTTACTATATTTTGTTGGTTATTGTTGTAACCAAAACATAAACGCATAAACATAAACATCAGATATTTATCTCGAATATAGTTAAAAGAAAATTTAACAATAAGAATGATTATATACCTTGTTCCATTGAGATTTTCGGATCTGAAAACTAGGGTTGAGTTTTCAAGTTGATCTCAAGAACTCTCTCTAAATCCCACAACAAACCCTAAAACGAATTTCTTGTAGAAATTTTGTATATCGTAAATTTGTTTCTCATCACGTATTTATATAGATGGAGATATGACCGGAATGTGAGAGATATTAAGAATTTAGGAGATCTTGAGTAAAATCGGGAACTCAACACACAATATAAACATGGTAAGTGTATATCTTCATTTATTAATAAAATTGGTCCATCAATAATTTTATATAATTTCCATAATAATATAAAATCAATGATAACATTATTCATATACATTTATTAATAAAATTGGCACTTATGACTCTAAGCTCCTAATGATGCTTGAAGAATGGAGGAGGCTAGGGTTTCGTTCTTAGGGTTAGAGGGGATGGAGCTTGAAGAATGGAGGAGGTTTGGGTCCATAATGATGCTTATAAAGGGACCAAACCCTAAAAACGAGTCTATGATACAACACAGCGAACGCCCTGCGTTCCCATCTTGGCCCGCGTCACTTTTCCCCTTGAACGCCATGCGTTCCCATCTGGTACGCCCCGCGTACTCGGTTCGGCCCAAAACCCTCCTAACTTCAAATGGTCATAACTTCTTCGTTATAACTCCGTTTTTGACGTTCTTTATATCCACGGAAAGGTAACGAGAAGCCCTACACTTCTATCAACTTTATTTTTCCTGAAATCCACTCGAACTCAAATCCAAAATGCAAGAAAGGCTCGAACCAACACCTTTACCGATACCCTTGGGCTCTAAAGCACAACCCGAACCCTTTCATCACACAACCTACCTTATTCATATCCAAAAAGGGCCTAAACCTTTCTCCTTCGAAGCCTCAAAACCTTCTCACACTCGGATTACGGCCCACAAGCCTTGAATCGCAAAACGATCTGAAACAGGATGTTACATAAATGTAACCGAACCAACCACTCTAATTGGTTATTCGATTGGATCGATTTTATTCATTGGATATATTTGATTAGTTATACATTATCCAACCAATTCTAACTCATTTTATTGTTGGATTAGTGTCTAAGCCCGTAACTATATTTGGTAAGTATTTGACCCGGTTGTGCATGGTCCTTTTGGGTTGCCTTCACCATAGCAACTTGACAGGGTAATTTATAGAGAGAGCGAGAGAAGATATTATGATTTATTAATATATTATGAGAATAATATATTAAAGGAACAATAATATTATTTAATTAGTATTAGTCATAAATTAATTGAGAATTAATTTGGCGACTAAAAGAGATTAATCGAATAAAGGGGCTTAAACTGTCAAATGTGTGATAGTTGCATTTTGGGCTGGGAAACCTGATGGATTAAGGGGTGGACGAAATTATGGGTGGGAACCCATCTAGATTTCGTCCAAGGCCTTACTCCAGAAGGTTCCATGGGTTGTTTGGTGATTAAGTTGTCCATTAGGGTTTTGACTGAAACCCTAACTGCTCACAGTATAAATAGGAACCTTGGGATATGATTTTCGGCCACTTGTTCTCCTTGGAAACCCTAGAGCCAAAAATCATAAGTCCTTACCCTCTCTCATATTTCCCTCTTGCCAATTGGTGTTTGTAAGCCATTAGAGGAGTGACACTTATGACTCTAAGCTCCAAGAACAAGAAGATTCAAGCAAGCAACAAGAGGTAATCATTTAGATCTGAGTTTCTTATGTCAAATTCGAATTGTGTACACTAGATCTAGGGTTTGCAAGACTTGGATATATTGCATGTACAATAGAGAAACCTAGATCCAAGCATTAGGGTTTGCATGTGCACATAGGAAAGTTCTTATGGCTCAAACCCATCAGTGGTATCAGAGCCTTGATTGGTTTCTATTGTATTGATGCCTTGTTTATTTGTTCAAGCTTTAAAAATAGTTTTTTCTGCCTCCTGACTGACAGACTCGGCGAGTCCCATTGTAGACTCGACGAGTAGGATGAACTCGACGAGTCCATAAGGGGACTAGGCGAGTCGGAGCGTCTGTCAGAGAGATTTTCGAGATTTCTTGCTGTTTTGCTTAAGGATACTTACCTAAATCGTTTTGGTTTAATAAAATCCGAATTTTATCACTTGTTTGACAATATCCTTAACAAAACAAAAGATTATTACCAATTATTTAAATAATAAATTCCTTATTTGATAA